TGACATTCATTATTTTAATAATAATCACAAGAGAGAGAGAGAAAAAAATCATACGATTTTTTTTTCTGGTTCATATTCTTCCACCGAATGAATGAATGGAGCCAGAATTTTCGCCAAGCGCGCAGAATCATCGAATCCAAATGATAATTTGACCATTAACCTATTAGCTGACTGATGCAATATATCGGCAATAATAATAAACGAAAAAAATGGAACAAATAATGTATTGCATGTTTTTTTTGTTGATCCGGATTTCATCATGTAAAAATAAGAAAAATGTACTACAAGTATCAATATTTGCTATGAACAAAAAAAAAAAAAAAAAATGAACTGATTTTTGGAAGAAACAAAAAAACTAAAAAAAATTGACTGAAATATCAAGGATGATAACAAAACAAGCTAACAAGGATNAAAAAAAAAAAAAATGTACTACAAGTATCAATATTTGCTATGAAAAAAAAAAAAAAAAAAAAAAATGAACTGATTTTTGGAAGAAACAAACAAACTAAAAAAAATTGACTGAAATATCAAGGATGATAACAAAACAAGCTAACAAGGATGGATAATAATCAATTTTCGGCTTTTTTGCTTTTGTTCTTTATTGATTATTTCATTGGGAATTTGAAATAATCAACGAACACAAGTTTGTCATGTCGAACAAAAAAATCAATCATTCATTCATTTGAATGAATGACAAAATCGAATGATGTCTTCTTTTTTACCATATCAATGATGTATTTCCATTTTTTTTGATAATAAAAAACATACTACATATGGTTGATAAATTATGCAAAGATCAAAAGAGAGAGAGAGAGAGAGAGAGAAAAAGAAAATCTTATCATCATCCGAATCAAATTTTTGAATACCTGACTGACTCTTTTCAACTTTCTTTCTTTCATTGTCCTTGAATTTTTACTTTTTTTTCAAATCGATCGATTTGAAATGTTTTTTACAAAAAATTTTACCCAAAAATAACAACGAAATTTTCATTTTTTTAGGTTTTTAGGCTTTTTATTTTGCTTTGTTTTTTCTTCCAATGAAATTGACAATTTATGTATGCAAAAAAAAGAAGGGGAAAAAACTATTTATCATTACCGCTGTCTTCGGAATTTGATGATGATGGTGACGATGATGGCGGCATCTGATTTTCATCAGATGATGATGATGATTTTTCATCATTCAAATTATTATTATCGTTGGATGTTGTTGTTGTTGTTGATGTATCACTAGATGTCGTATCAATCAATGAATTTAAATCTAATTGTTCAACAAGATTTTTTTTACCAAATGGTGATTGTCCAATCAAACGTTCAATATCGGAATAATTTAAAACTTCTTTAAGTAATAATTCTTCAGCCATTAATTTTAATTTATCACGATTATTATTTAATAATTTTTCAGTATCTTTATATGCTTGTGCAACCATTAACCTGGCTCGTTCATCAATTATTCTTGCTAATTTTCTACTAAATGGTTTTTTACCAAATTTATTTTCTTCATAATCAAAACTTAGATTACCAACTAATGGATCCATACCATATACTTGAATTTTTGTATATGCTAATTTTGTTACTTTATTCAGATCATCCTGTGCACCAGAACTAACATGATTAAATGTTAATGCTTCTGCAACACGACCACCAAGTGCCATACACATTCTTTCATATAATTCTTGTTGTGTATAAAGTTTTCTATCCGATGGTAGATAACGTGCAAAACCAAGTACATTTGTTGTACGTGGTACAATTGAAATTTTTAATAATGCATCTGTATTCGGTAATAACCAACCGACTAATGCATGTCCACATTCATGATAGGCAATAATACGTTTTTCTTGTGGTCCCATTACATCGGTACGTTTTTCTGGTCCACCAACAACACGTTCAATAGCTATTTCCAAATCATCAGCTTGTACTAATTTTTTTCCAACACGTGCAGCATGTAATGCAGCTTCATTAACAACATTAGCAATATCAGCACCAGAAAAACCTGGTGTTAATTGTGCCATACGTTTTGCATAAAATTTCGGTTCTTTTTCCGATTTTACCGAACGAAAATGTGAAATAAATATTTCTTTTCGTTCTTCTAGTGTTGGATAATCAATAAGAATATGACGATCAAATCTACCTGGTCGTAATAATGCACGATCAAGAATATCGGCACGATTAGTCGATGCTAACATTATAATTTCATCACGTTGACCCATACCATCCATTTCGACCAATAATTGATTTAATGTTTGTTCTTCTTCACCACTTGTACCACCAGCCATACGTTCACCGCTACGTTTTCTACCGATCGCATCGATTTCATCAATATAAACAATACAAGGTGAACGTTTTCTTGCTTCGGCAAATAAATCTCGCACACGAGCTGCACCTAGACCACCAATCATTTCAATAAATTCCGAACCATTAATCGCTAGGAAAGGTACCGATGCTTCAGTTGCAACAGCTTTAGCCAACATAGTTTTACCACATCCAGGTGGTCCTAAAAGTAATACGCCTCTTGGTATTTTAGCTCCCAACATTTTAAATCTTTCCGGTGATTTAAGATAATCAACAAATTCCATTATTTCAACTTTTGCTTCTTTTAAACCGGCAACATCATTAAATCGTACACCTTTACCATCACCAATCAATGGATCAACAATAGTAAATTTTGCACGTCTTAAATTGGAAAACATATTTGAACCAATCATTTGTGATTTTGACATTGAACTATTTCTCATAAACATTGATACAATTGCACCAAGAACCAACAGTGATAATAATGCAAACCAAACATTTTCCTGATTACGTTCATAGATAATCTGTACTGATTGATCAGATCGGATACCTAATTTAGCTTCGGCTTCACGTAATTTTGATTCAAATTTTTTTACATCAACAATATTCATATGATATTGACGAAATGGTGCTTTTTTTCCACGAATAATAGCACCTTCATGTAGATAAATAGTAACCAGATCGAGATCTGGTTTTACGACAATTAATTCTACTTCTCCTTTTGATAACATTTGATGATAGAATTCATTCCATGAAACAAAACGTAATACATCTGGTTTATTAGCCGGTGGAAACATTAATGATATTAATGTTATCATTGTATAACCAAGTGCCATCCAAACAAGACCATATGCCATTAATTTTTTATCATCACGATTTGGATCATCTTTATCGTTGTTACGATTATTGCCACTGCTGTTGCTATTATTATCACCTTGACTTGATTGTCGTTGATTACCATCATTGAAACGAATTTTAGATTGTTGAAATTTCAACACAAATGATGATGATTGACAAAGATTAATAAATGATCGATTTGGTAATAATAATTTAAATAAACGTTTCCTCCATCCAATAAATTCATCATTTTGACAATAATTCTTGTTCGAATCGATAATTCTGTTTATCGAATTAATTGTTGAATAAAAATGATAACGTTGTTTGGATTGTAAAATTGTTCGAATTGTTAATGAAACAATTCGATCGGAATTATGTGAAAAAATTAAATGATGTAACATTTTGCAATTGAAAAAAATTAATCAACATTTTGAAAAACAAAAAAAACGAACCAAAACAAAACAGATGATTACACCGGTGCTGCTATCTGTTGGCGATTATTTTTCCCCTTTCCATTTCAAACAGAAAGAAAAAAACATTCGAAACACTTTTTAATTAGAGCAAGTTTGGAAAAACATTTTTTTTTTGGAAAAAACAAACAAAAACAAACAATGATTCAAATAAACATGATGATGATCATCATCATTAAACTGATTACAAATACATTCGAATCGATCTATCGATGGTGTTGATCGGCAAAACAAAACAAAAAACTTTGATCATCAACATCATCGATGATCATTATCATCGACATAGATGACGAAACAAAACAAAACAAAACAAAATAATAATGAGAGAAAAAAGGATCAAATTACAAAATTCTTTTTCACTTTCATTTAATAATAAGCAAGCAAACAAGCATTAATACAATTAAATAAATTCTAGTGAATTTTAATTATAAAAATAAAAAAAACAAGTGAGATACCAATTCTCGATTCTCAATTCACTATTTATCTTTTACACTCTTTATTTTTTCAAAAAAGTGTTTTTTTCCCACTTTTACATTGGAATTATCATTTTGTTCTCTCTCAGAGTGTTAAATTAGTTAGTTAAGGCGGCTTTTTGTTGGTGTTAGGGTGATATGTTTAGTGTTTAGTGAGCGAAAACAAGAAAAGAGAACCATCCAGAGTTTTTCGATCATTCTCGATATTCATTGTTATTTATTATCGTAATTTAATGATGATGATCATCATCACCGAAAGTGAACCTTTCGAGATTTATATTTCTTTTTATTTTTCACTTTCATTGTTTGCATTACACATCATCTAATATATTTTCCTATCAAATCATCATTATAATGGAATCTATATCTATCTATCGTTTTGTGTTTCTTTCTTTCATTCTGGCAAAGTGTGAAAAATGTTTTTTTTTGTTCTGGGTAATTTGGAACAATGATGATCAATTTAATACTATCATCGTCAGATCAGATGTAAATCTCTTTATAATGAGATGGAATGTTTTTACTGTTTTTTTTTCTGTTTTCAATTTTCGGTTGTTGCAAGGTGTTAATGAGAAAAAGTGAACATCAGCAGCAGCAGCAGCAGCAGTAGTCTTCCAGTGATAATATTGTCACAATCGATACGATCGGATTCCTGAATTGATTTTTTTTTGTTGAAAAATTTTTCAATCCGATTTTCTGCTTTTTCACTCGCTCAAGAACAGGAGCAAATATCGTTTGCTTGTATTTACCTAATTGTCTGTAACATGGTATCGTCATGATGAAACTAAGAATGAAAATTTCATAATTTGTAAAGAGCAAATCAAACAAAAGCAAAACAAATCAACAACTAATTAGAGAATGAATGGAAAAATGGAAAGAAAAAACTTTTTGATTCGAGATGATGATGCTTCAGGGTTAACTAATGATGATCATCATTCAACGAATGATCAACAACAACAAATCAGCAGCAATTATATTTTTTTTTTGAATGGACTATGGATCATTCATTGTTTCTTTAGTTCCAGAATAATGAAAAACGAAACGAAAAAAGTTCAATTCATAAATGGCTTCGAGCATTCTTCAAGCAGCAACAAAAATAATTTAAATGACTTTTATGTGTAAAACAAAAACAAAAAAAAACAAAAATGGATTTTTTGAAAGTTTTGTCCATTATTATCGAGAAAATTGTCAATTGTCATCATCATCATTAGTGAAATATGTTGTTTTGGCTTGGCTTTGGTTTGGAAAACTCTTGACTCTTTTTTTCGTTATTAAAATGAAAATGAAAATGTTTTTTTGGAAATAAGGGATCGATTTGAACGAAAACGAAAACGATAATAACAATTTTCATATGTCTTTTTATTATTATTATTAAATTGCTGATTTATCTTTCAAAATGTTGTTGTTGATGATAAATTGATTTATAATAGAAAAATCTTCATCATCCATACGATTCAAACATTTTTGATTCAATTTTGCTTTCATTCTCTTTCATTCATTCGTTTATTCTCGCTACATAGAATTGTACTTGGATACTGAAACGAAACAAAACAAAAATTGAAAATCAAAATTTGATTTAGTTGTTATTAGTTATGATGATGATGATGATGATTGTCAAAACAAAATAACGAAAAACGAAATTGAATGTTTTTTTTTACTGTTCAAATGGGTACCGAATATTGTCGTTTTAGAGCAGAGAGAGAGAGAGAGAGAGAGAGAGAGAGAGAGAGAGAGAGAAAGAATCTGATCACAATCATCATTGAATTGATTGATTCAATTTTCGTTTCAATATCGTTTTTGTTGTTGTTGTTAGTTTTGGTTGCGATCCAAAATATGTTTTTTTTTTCGTTTGTTTCGCTTTTCCCGTCTCTCAGTCGGTTATTATTATTTGGCAAACATTCATTCATTCATCCTCATTCACAATAATAATAAGCATGACATAAAATATTATTGAATAAAAGTAAAGTAAAGTGATGAAAAAACGTGCCTAAAGCATCTTTTTTTTCATCATATATCTAAAGGAAGATAATGAGGGGGAAAAAATCGTCGTTGATTTTCCCCGTGTGTTATATGATTGTCAACATTATTATTAAGTTTACCTGAACAGTAGTTTGTGATAGAAAAAAAATCGATCATCATCATTGAAATAATAACAAAATTTGATCGAAAACAACAACAAACTTGTTATCGGATTCGGTTGATTTCTAGTGTTTTTCTTGTCTTGTAGACGAGTTTGCCTTGTTATCATACAAATAATATCATTATTTAAATGACTTTTGTTTGTTTGTTTGTTATGGATTGTGAAATGAATATTTATTACTAATAGATCCAATTATTGGATGTCAAGGGAATGTTTGTGTTTGTTGTTTTGGTTGTTGTGTTTGTGTGTGTTTGTTTTTTTTCCATAGAAAATCTTTTCATGAATTGATTGATTGATTGATCAAATGCCAATATTGTCAATGTTTAAGAATTCCAAGAATTTAAACTAGTCATTTTATTTTTCGTAAAAGTGAATTAAAATGTCATGGATATTTACAATTACTTACCATAATTGTTGATGATAATTTCTCATCAAAAAAAAAACAATTTTCGATTTTCAACTTTCAATTGCAAATCAGCCAATTACCATTTGGGCGAAAAAAATAATATGACCATTTATTTCATTCAATGGTCGTACATATACGAATTATATGAATTGTTTCGGATTATCGCCGGTAAATGATGATGATGATGCAAAACAAAAAAAACCGTTAACATTTATTGATGATCCTAATGATTATTATGTAAAAAAAATGGTAATTTGAGTAGCATCGTTTGTTGTTTGTTGTAAATAATGATGATGATTGGTAATAATAAGCTTCATAATCATCATCAATTTCGGGAAAAAAAAAAGAAGTTTTTTTTTCGAACGAACAAACGAACGAAAAAAAAAATTGAGCCATCCAAAAGTTATTATCCCAAATGGATTAATGGGAAATATGATGATGGTGAATCAACCGATCAGTTAGTTTAGTTTAAAGTTTGTCATTCAATAATTGATTGTGTCATATGACCTATGTGTATGACATGACCCGAATTTGACAATTTTTTTTCTGTTCTTTGGTAATTTGATATCATTTGGGTTCAATTTTCAAAATCTCTTGTTTTTTCACATGAACCATTTTTTTTTAAATCTGCTGTTGTTATTCACAATCAATCAATCAATCGATTGATGATTCTCTCACCATTAACGAACAAAATGATTAGGAAAAATTTAAAAGTTTTTCGGCTTGAATTGGCTTGTAAGTGGAATGGTCAAGGCAAATGATTCGAATGATTTTTTTTCTTTCAGAAATGATGTTTCTAACTTTCTTTTAATGTGTCCATCGAGAGAAAGACGACTTAATTTTCCGAACAACCACCATATTACTTGTGTTGATAATGTGTTTTTCTCTCTGGATCTTACGGTTGAGAACGTGGAAAACCAAAAACCAAAGCGAATATCGATCAATCAATCAATCAAATCTATTAAATAAGGATTATATTTGCAAAAAAAAAACTCAATAAATAATCCATATTTTAGATTTGTAAAATTTCGAGAGAAAAAAAATTCCTAATCTGTGTAATTCTTGAATTCTGTTTGTCTGTATTCAATCGATTTTTATTTTTACTTGGCCAATTTTTTTCCCTTGATTTTCATTTCGAAATCGTTTATAGGACACACACAAAAACACATAAAGAATCGTGTGTATAGCACAATGTGATAATGAGCGTGCCATAGGTTTTTTTNATTGAGCCATCCAAAAGTTATTATCCCAAATGGATTAATGGGAAATATGATGATGGTGAATCAACCGATCAGTTAGTTTAGTTTAGTTTAGTTTAAAGTTTGTCATTCAATAATTGATTGTGTCATATATGACCTATGTGTATGACATGACCCGAATTTGACAATTTTTTTGTTTTTTCTGTTCTTTTGGTAATTTGATATCATTTGGGTTCAATTTTCAAAATCTCTTGTTTTTTTCACATGAACCATTTTTTTCTGCTTTTGTTATTCACAATCAATCAATCAATCGATTGATGATTCTCTCACCATTAACGACGAAAAATGATTAGGAAAAAAGTTTTTTGCTTGAAAAGAATTGGCTTGTAAGTGTGATGGTCAAGGGAAATGATTCGTATGATTTTTTCTTTCAGAAATGATGTTTCCATCTTTCTTAATGTGTCCATCGAGAGAAAGACGACTTAATTTTCCGAACAACCACCACATTGCTTGTGTTGATAATTGGTGTGTTTTTCTGGATCTTACGGTTGAGAACGTGAAAAAAACCAAAAAAGAAAATGAAAAATCGATCAATCAATCAAATCTATTAAATAAGGATTATATTTGCCAAAAACTCAATAAATAATCCATATTTTAGATTTGGAAAATTTCGAGAAAAAAAATTCCTAATCTGTGTAATTCTTGAATTCTGTTTGTCTGTATTCAATCGATTTTTATCTTTTCTGGTCATTTTTCCTCTTTAATTTTCATTTCGAAATCGTTTATAGGGCACACCAAAAACACATATAATCGTGTATAGCGCAATGTGATAATGAGCGTGCCATAGGTTCTTTACTTTTCAATGTTGTTTCTCAATCATATTTGGTTGGCTATATAGAAATAGAAATAGATAATATTTTCAATGTAATGATGATGATCATCATCGAATTGATTGACGACGATTCGTCGTCGATTCTGTATTCTTTTCTTTTTTTAATTTAACAATTTTGCCCATCATCATTATCATCAAACAATTTCTATCAACATTATCATCATTGACGAATCGGTGAACACACAAAGTTTGTTCGGGAAAGAATATTATCCAACACAAGAACAGACGGTATCAGAAAAAAACAAGCTAGAGATAGAGAGAGAAGGCGGTAACAATCGATTCCAATCGATTGTTGCTATATGAATTGTCAAATCGTTTTTTTTTCTCAAAAAAAAAACAAAATGATTTAAATGATTCATTCCATTTTCAGTCAAGTGGAGAATCATTCTGATTCTTGATTTTCCTCAGATAAAGATTCTGTAAATAAATTCTATTCATTTCAAATGGAATTATTATTAAATGATACAAATTTGAAAACAATTTTAAACACCAATAATAATAATCATAAAACATTTGATGCGGTGAATAATTTTTGTCTATCTAAAATGGCTGTTACAAATACATCATCGATGGCCTCTGCCGCAGCTGCTGCATCCGCATCATCAACCATCATACCATCAACTGGATCATCATCATCATCATCATTTTTTATCAAAGATATTCTTTCATCATCAAGGTTTGTTTTATTGCGTTTTATTGAAGCCATTACCATTGTATTATCGTTGAACTTTTTCCCTTTCTATTTTCACATCCAAAAGCAAAGCAAATAAATTAAAATTACGTTCCACTAATCATCATCATTATCATCATGAAGAATCTCGTTCACCTAGTCCACCTACATTTTCTCGATTAATATCAACCGAACAACAACAAACATTTCCAAATTCAAAACAATTTTCATTGAAATTAGAAAATCGTTTGGAATCAATATCACCATCAAGTCATCAATCAACACCATCACCCAAATCTTCATCACAACATCGGCAACAACAACAACTTAATGATCGTTTGGATTCAAGTCCAAGTGCAAATGGATCATCAGCATCCAATGGTTATAGTCCACCAATATTATCTACAAATCATCCATTTAACACTAATGATGATGGTAGGGGTATTATCACCAATCAAACACAACCAATAACAGCACCATTATCATCAGCATCATCATCATCAACGACTGATGTGGCAGCAAATTCACAAGCAGCATATGCAGCAGCAGCTGCAGCTGCATTTTTCGGTGGTAATAATTCATTGGCCGCATTTCTTCATCATCATCATCATCAACAACATGCGTCCATCAGTAATGGTACGGCAAATTTTTATCCTTCGGCAGCAGTCGCTTCTGCCGCTCATCATTCGCATTCACATCCACATCATCCACATCATGATCTGATTCTACAACAAATGCAACGTGCAGCTGTTGTTGCAGCTGCAACTGCATCACATGTAGCAGCCGCTGCTGCCGCTACACATCGACGTCGTAAAGCTCGAACCGTATTCTCTGATCATCAATTACATGGATTAGAGAAAAGGTATGTCAATCGATTCCATCAACCTTCATCAAACCATCAAACCATTCCTTTTGATGATAATGATAATGAGGACCACACATTTGTTTCATAACTAAAGAATAAAATGATTATTCAATTAGTAAATGAATGAAACATCATCATTATCATTGAATAACATCATTTTTTTTTGTTAACCCTTAGGCAAGCGTAAAACATTCATTTATTCATTCATTCATTTAATTAATAATAATAATGATAATAGTTTTCCAATGAGAAAAAAATATCATCAAATGATAATAATAATGAGAATAATGGTCGCTATAATCATTATTCTTTTTTTCATTTCAAAACAAAAAAATTCTGTGGAAAATTCCCTTGAGGCTATGATTAACGATCAAAGAATATATTTTTTTCGTTGTTTCGTTTGGAAAAATTGATAAAATATCATTCAATGATGAGAATGATGATGATGATCCGATCACATAATGTTTTTTTGTTATTAGATCTAGGTTTAAAAAAAACAAAGAAAGAAAGAAAATTTTATCTCTCCAAGGACCAAAAAAGATTCGTTATTATTATCGTTACATAACTAACTAACTAACTAACTGAATCTTTCTGAATTGATCTTACAAATTGTTTTGTTTTGTTTTTTATCGATATGTTTATCCATTATCATCATCATCATTATTTATTAGTTAGTTAGTTGGAAAAGTTTTCAGTAAACAAAAAAAAAACAAAATCCATAAAATGGTCATCATTAAATAGTTATTATATCAACATCATCATCATATCCATATCTAGAATATCCATAATAATCTAATAATCTCTTTATCGATCATTTTGTTTGTTTGCTTTTAGATTTGAATCACAACGTTATCTATCTACACCTGAACGTTTAGAATTGGCAACAAATTTAAATCTAAGTGAAACACAGGTAAAAACATGGTTTCAAAATCGTCGTATGAAACATAAAAAATTATTACGTAAAACAACCAATTCTTCTTCAATCAATTGTTTACAGCAACAACAACAACAACAACAATCAATATCATCATCAGCATCATCAACATCATCATCGTCGACATCATCATCGATTGGATCAGGAACATTGAAAATTTCATGAATTTCTTTTCGCAATTAGAGAATCATCATTATAATCAATTATTATAGTGTTTTTTTTGGACAAACACACACCCCTTTGATTCATTTGCAACACCCCCATTCCTCCCCCCAGTGTATTCAAATAATAAATTATCATCAATTAAACGTTGTTTGTTTGTTTGTTTGTTTTGTTCACTATTTTAACACCCGAATTTTGCTGAAAAATTTCATTCTTTTAACACACACAAAACACAAAAACTCCGCCTATTTTTTCACTTTTATTCAATGCTATACAGGCGAATTCTGCCATTGGAAACATTGGTAAATGGGGGTGGGATTACCAGATTTTTTTTTTTTTGGCAATGTGAATACAGTGTGTGCGTGGATCGAATTTGAATTTGAATTTGCGCATCATCATCATCAAAGAAAAGAAAGAAAAATTGAACATCAATTCAATAGATAAGAATATAACAAGTTACACAGTTTTATGATCGATATAAATTCAATTATCGATCTTCGGACGACTTAATAAACAAAAAAAAAAAAAAATGATGGACATTGATTGAACAAATGATTCGATGATTGTTCATTCATTATCATCATCAATTGATTCATTGATTGAATGATTCGTTCAATTTTTCTCGCTCACAGTTTGAGTTTTTCGTTTTATTTAATAATGAAAAGAATTAATGATTTGGATCAATTGATTTTTGGATTTTGTTAAATTATTATTTTTTGATTTGATTTATTTTTTCTGGTTAATTTGATAAAAAGAATGAATTGAAAATGAAATTTTGGGTTTTTTTCTGGCAATCAGGGAATTTGTTGTGATGTTTATCACATTTTTGGTTATTTGGTTGATCTGATCAATGAAACATAACCGCAAAAACAGCTGCAAATACTAATGATGCAATAATAAATATAATACCAATAAATGGTAATGATAATAAATGACATTTTAATGATTTTGATTGATAATTTGAACAATATTCAGTGGTTATATTTTGTTGAAATTCACGATAAGCATTACCAATTATATCACCAGATTTTTTACCACATTGTTGACATGTATCAATCGAAATACAATCAAAAAAATCCCATAAATAACAACAATGTTGTTTACGATCATCAACATTTGTAAATATAATTTCATAAAGATAATTAATCATTTTTTTAGCACAAACAGGTAAATTTTGTTCCAATTGTTCCATTTGTTTTGAATGTATTATTGATTCATTCAATTTCCATTGAACAGGTAATTGTTTATCCATACAATTCAATATTATTTCATTCCAATGACAATCCAGATCTTCATCAGGACATTGATCCATTTGAATTGGTCGAATCAATATTGTTGTGATGATGATGGTTACCGAAAGCCAAAACCAAATCCAATCACTATGATGATACATTATGGTAATTTTCGAAAATTTCGATCGAATTTTTGTTTTCAAATAAAAATAATTATTTTCAATTAAAATACAAATATTGTTGCCAAATCACTGATTAGTTTTCCATATAAAAAATTAATAATAATTTCTACTCAAAAATCGATTAAAATCCGATAAAAATCAATTAAATTGTCATTGAAATGATTGATTATTATTGCTCTTCTCATAGAAATAATGATAATCATTCATTTTAGTTCCTTGACATTTATCATTGATTTTAAGATAATTTTCTTTTTTTTATTGCTTTCAATTATTTCAAAAAAAATTGTTGCCTTTTATGCCATCTAGTTGTTTGAATTTGAACAATTATTATCGAACAACAAGTGTGTCGAAAGCCTAGTGCTGCTATCTAAACACAAGTTTGAATCTCATAATGAAACTTCGATTTTTTTTAAACCAAATTGAGTTGGACATTTTTTTGCATCAATAATTTTATTTTACAACAGAAAAATCAAGAAAAAATAATCAAAAAATAATTGTCTCTCTTTCTCAAATAATTTCAATCAATCAATGACCTGATATAGAAATTGGTGATGATTTTGAATCGGGAAATTCTACTGGTTGTTGATCATTTGTTTGTTTACAATCATTGTCTATATCATCATCATCGACTTCAATCAATAATAATCGATTTTTTTCCCTAAGAATAATACTGATTTCGGTTAATAATTGTCCAAGAAATAATCGATCAACATTATTGGCAATTAAATTGAGAAAAAACCAATCAGACATTCGTAATTGTGTAAGTAAATCAATCATCATATTTGAATCATTACAATTTGCTGATTTCATTAATAAATCACATAGAAATTTGGTACGCATTTTTGGCCACATTATTTGTGCTAAACGATGTAAAAATGTTATCATAAATGCAATAAGCATAATTATAATCCAAAACCAAATGAATAGAAAAAATTTATCATTGAAAATATTCATTGGTAGCATACAAAGTGAATCAATATTTTCCGATTTTCCGGATGGACCATAACGACGATATTCGCATTTAGTCATACGTGGAAATATCTGCAAGAAAAGTTCCAAATTGATTCAAATTCAAAAAAAGAAAATAAAAAAAAAATATCTACATACCATATTGATTGGATTCAAATCTTGACTTTTAGTTTTGTCATTATGATATTTCCAAAATGTTTGTATTGCATCAATACCATAATTAAGATAACGTCCATTGAAAATTGTATCCAATGTATACATCTGTAGAAATAGATTGACAAAGGCAATAATTTCACAAAAATAATATCCCCACATATAACGATCATTTGAACCGAATGATGTTACAATATAATTGGCAATTTGTTTTAATTTTAAATATTCATTTGATTGATTATGTTGATGATCGACTAACATATCGGCATGTGATACTAATGATCGTATACGACGACATTCTAATTTTTTCCATAACCAATGTGGAAAATAAAACCATAAACCACCAATAAAATAAATCATCCAAAGCCAATGATAATAATCGATAAAAATACGTATTAAAGGATCGGATGATGATTGATCATAATGATTCACACGATTAAGACGTACACCTGGAAATATTCCAATTTGTTTTGATGATCGATAAGATGGAAATTTTTCATTAACAGTAGAAAATGGTGATTCATAAACAATATATGTTGTATGTATTAAACAAAATGTATTCAAAAATTCAGTTTCAACTCTTGCCAATGAATTATCACAATTAATTAATTTACCAATTAATTGATTTGAACAAACAACAACTAAACCGGCTAACATTATTATCGCTGTCATACGACAAACAATACCAAAAACAAGACCATCAATCGATAATGATCGTCGTTGTAGAAAAGAAAATAAAGCACGAAGTTCTTCAAACATTTTGCTTTTTTTGAAATTAAATTTTTTTACATCAACTTTCGTTCATCATACACATCATAAAACCAACCAACCAAGCAGCAACACACCACACACGTGTGTATTTTTATCATTCGAATTTACACGAATTAACAGAGATAAACAAGAGGGAAAGAAAATGAACAAATGACAAATATCGAATTTTCGAACATTGAATTGAAAAACAATTTATTCATTTTTTAAAATGTTTTGATCAACTAAAGAATTAGTGTTTTGATTTTGTGCTTTTTTATTTTTACGATATCTTCTCATATATTCGGCTTTTTTAGCTTTTTTAGATGTTTTCCAATCTTCTAAAAGAAAAACAAACAAGAAAAATTCTTATTTCACTTTTTTCGGATTTATTCAAAAAAAAGAAGAAGTTATTTACCATCACATTGACAATGACTATGAAATATTTTCGGATCATTTGATTGTTTGACAATCGATGATGGTGTTGATGATGGTGATAGATTTGGATTTAGCGATTTTGAAATAATTTTATTGATAGCTGTTGATCGTAGTATGGCTGGTGTTGGTCGATTTGGCCGAACCAATCCATGATTCTGTAATAATTGCATTGGAACATTAGCCAATTGACCATTGTTTTGTGGATTTGGTGTTGAATGTAATATCTGTTCTTTTCCGAATGTTGATGATGATTTTTTCAATGATGATGATTCATGATTAGAATTTTGTTGTTGTGGTTGTTGTTGTTTCTGTTCGTTTTGTTTTTTTGTTTGAACACAATTTTCCAATGCAGTATTTGGTTTCGAAATTTTGTTAGGCATTTCAATGTTATCATCATCATCGGAATCATCTTCGATTTTAATGATTTCAGGTTGTTGTAATGGTTGTTTACCTGTTGATGATTGATTCAATGTCGACGATGATAATAATGATGATAATGATTTTCTATCATTTGGCTGTTGAAAATTTTTAACCGGAACTGTTGATAATGAATTATGAAGATTATTGGCAATCATTGGCAATTGAATTTCATTACCATTTTGTACTAATATTGGTTTTGAATTTAATAATAATACTTTTCCGGTAAATGATTGATTTGGTTTCGATAATGATGATGATGATGGTAATAGAAATGCTGTTTTAAAATTTTGATTCAATAATGGTGGCAATTTTTGGCCAGTAGCCATTAAATTGAATCGTTGATTATTGTTGATCGATAATGATGATGATGATGATTGTTGATTCGATTGATTATCAACTATTCTCATGGCTAAAACATTTGGACTCGAAGTAACATTTGTTTCAGCTGCTGTTGTTGTTGTTAACGATGTATTTGGTGATGGTGATAAAATTGTTAGAAAATTTGTTAAAGTTGATTTTTGATAATTCGTATTGGAATGATTATTATTATTATGACTTGTACTTGGCATACAATTAAATGGATCACAATTGACAACTAATTGTTCGACATTTTTCTTTGAATTTTCTTCATCATTATCTGATGATGATGATGATGATGATGATGAATCACTAGTTGAACTAGTTGAACTAGTTGTATCACTATCCGAATCATCGCTTGAAGTTTCATCATCACTATCATCAGAAGAAATGGATATTATTGGTGGAATTTTCGCCGAAACATTTTTTGATTTAGATTTGATAATTATTTTCGATGGTTGTTCGGGTTTTTTCAACGTACAAGAACGTCTTGGTCTATCGGTTGAAGTGGCCCATGATTTTTCTTCAGTTTTTGTTTGAAGATCATTATCATCATCTAATTTTCTTTTTAACATTCGTTTCATTTTAGATCGCTGCTCAGATTCCATCTGTTGATTGATATTTAAATTTTTGGCATCATTATTTTTTGGCGGTAATTTTTTTATCGTTTTCAAATCATTATTATTAAATGTTGCTAAAAAAGTTTGCTTCAAATTTCGCCATGTTTTTTGTGAAGATGATTTATCCGATTTTTCCATTCCATTGGCAAAATTGTTGATAATTTTTTGATAAAATTTTTCCAAATCATTATCAAACCATTTATAATCATTTTGAATTTGTTTCAATTCTTTTCGATCCAATAACATTAATCGAACTAAATTATTATAAAATTTTAACAATTTCAATAATAATTGTTTGTTTTGATTCGGCGATGATGGTTCAACATTCGACACTGATTTTGCCTTATTATTACAAATTTTTGGTGATTTTTGTTCATTTTGAATTATGATTGTTTTTCCATTGTTGAATTTTTTTCGTCTTGCCATTTTGTTTTCTAATTTCATTCGATTTTGATTCGATCATTAAAATATCTCAAAGAAATGTTTTCATTTTAGTTTTTTTGAAACTTACCCAATTGTTATGAACACAAATGATTGATTGATTGATGATAAATTTGATCGTTTTTTTTTTGTTTCACTTATTTATTTATCGATGTTTGTTTTTTTATTCAAAACAAAAAAATTATGTGAAATGTAAAATGATACGAACGAAAAAATGCTCGTATTCGCGATCAATAATATCGGTAATGTAAATTTTTGGTGTATATAATACGAAATACGCAAACGCAATGGCCGATTATTAAAAAAAAAGTTTCGAATGAGTTTGCGCACAATGAATGTTGAAAGACATTTTTTTTGTTTTCATGCATGCATGTTTTGCAGTTACATTTACAAAAACAGTGCTGCCACCTTAGTATATCACTATAATCAATCAGGAATTGTATTGTGAATGCGCAGAATTCAATCAAAAAAACTAACATTTTTATCGTTTCCTTTATTTGAATCCAGAATCCAAAACAAAACAAAAAAAATTGAATAAACAACAGAATTTTTTATTTCGAATGATTTATTTATTGTTTTTTTTTCAAATCAAATTTCAATTCTGTCAATTTTGAGAATATAAATTACGTTATTTTAATGTTATCATTATTTTTTTTTCGGAGGGGTGATGGTGGATATTTACAAAATAATTCATTCGAGAATTATAAATGAATCAAATGTTTGAATTATCTTGAATAGGCGCCATTTTTTATAAAAATTTTTGTAATTAATTTATTGTTTTAACAGATGGCGCCAGGTATGGATTTTTTGTCTGTTTTTCAAATTTTATTTATTTTTCTTTCTTTCGTTTATTTCCAAAATGGATGATGTAAAATGTGAAATATTGTGATGATGATGAAACAAAAAACAAACAAACAAAAAGAAGAAGAAAATTAAATTTTTATAGAAAACATAATAAAATAAAATAATAATGATAAAGTTTTAGAAGAATGAGATTATTGTAATGAGGATGATGATGATGATGAAACAGTGATTTTTTTTTTAAAGAAAAAAAAAGAAAATTCAACAAAAATAATAATTTTGAATGTATTCGATATATTACAAACAACAAACAAAATGTTTAAGTATTCAATATGAATTGAATAATTGACAATCATCAATAATCGATTAATTATTTGCAATGGAAAAAAATGTAGAATGATGACAACAATAGAATATTTTCTTCAAAATGATTTTTTTTTCTCTCTCGATAAAACAATAAATAAGATGATCCATTAAGTATTTCAAAAAAAAAAATTCAATTAGTGATGATTATTGATGAGATCAATATTGATTGTGAGGATGTTTGAGTTATTTATTACCATGTTCCAGTAGTAGTTGTCCAACATTGTTGTTGCTGTTGTTGTTGATGATGACCATTCAACGATGTACGATGTTGATGATCAAATGTTGACATCATCATCATTTGATTCGATTGATGATGATGCGAATGATCAATATGATAATCACCATTATCATTATTGAAATCATTATATGAAGATATTAAAAGCTGATCATAATTACCATTATCGATTGATTGTTGTTGTTGTTGATGATGATTTTGATCAAAACCAAAATATTGCTGCTGATATGATGTATGATTTTTTTCATATAAACCACCGGTATTATCATTAGAATTATCATTTTTATTTTGCCAATCACAATAATCGATTGCAGTGGAATTACCGCCATTAATAAATGTATCGTTAAAATTTGTTGGATAATGTTGTTGATGATAACCATTATCAGATTGTTGTTGTTGTTGTTGTGTATTATTGATAATATTTGTTGTTTGAGTTGGAAAAATCGATGGAATAGAAGAATTATTATTATTGCCTGGTGAATGTGATAATGATGATGATGATGGTGATGGTGATGGTGTATGTAAAAAGAATGATGAATTATTTGCCAATGAATTTGGTGTATTATTCATTTGATTACGTTGATTATTAATATTTGTTGTTGCTGCGGTTGTTGTTGTTGTTGAAACACGAACAGGTTGTTGTAACATTGTTGTTGTTGATGATGGATCATTGACAATTGGCCATTGACTACCACCAACACCATTACAATCATTACCACCATATGATGATGATGATGAACCACTTGATGATGGTGGACTAAGAAATTCATCCATAACAATCATCGATGAATGATGATGATGATTATTACCATTAATCGATGTTAAAGCTGAATTATTATTGCTACAATAAGATGATGGTTGTTGTTGTTGTTGTTGATCGATTGGAAAATTATAACAATCATTATTAGCCATCAAATTTGAATTATTATTATTAGGCATAAAATTTGGACGACGATGACAATTATTATTGCTTAATGATGATGATGGTGGTGGTGGTGTCATTAATGGATCAATCATTGATGACATTGAATAATTATTATTTGTTTGTGTATAATTATTATTATCATTCGGCAATGAATGATCAACTAAATTATTAAAACATGTTTTAGTTGTAACATTCATTGTAACTGTTGTTTGTTGTTGATAATTATTTATATAAATATTATCATTATTGTTGTTATTTGTATAGATATTTGTTGAATAATCATGATAAGATTTATATGGTTGTTGTTGTTTATTATAACAGATATTTTGAACATCATTGACCGATGATGGTGGTGGTTGACATTGTCCATTAACATATGGCTGATGATCATAAACAATTGTATCATTATAATTATTATTAATCAACATTGAAGATTGTGGATCGGATTTGAATTTTTTATTAATCATCGGTGTTGATAAATTTGAATCATCGAATGAATTTGGATCATTCGAATGATGATGATGATGATGATCACGTTTATTGCTATTGTTGATAATATTAGCCGAATCATCATATGATGATGAACAATCATCAATATCATGTTGATCCATTTTCCGATGATCATCTAAACTCATTCGTCTTTTATGTACTTTATACATATGAGCTTTTAAAAAATATCTTTTAACAAATGTAAAATTACACATGTCACATGAATAAGGCCTTTGATTTGTATGTTTTCCATTTATATGATTAACCATAACATATTTACGACAGGTAAGAAATTCACATTCCGGCCAATCACAACGATAGCCAACAATTTTCATATCTTTTTGTAATGCTAAATTAAAAAGTACGAAAAAAAGTATTAGAAAAAAACTCAATCCAAAAACAATCGCATTTACTAACCAATTATGTATTTATTTTCACTATCACGAATTTTGGCAACATCATTACTTTGAAATTCTTGAAATAAATTCTGTTTACCGATATAATTTTTTGAATTGTTTGCTTTACGTTTTTTATTATTACATTGATTATTGTTATGATTGTTGTTGCTTGATGAATAACCACCAACACCATTATTATAGCAATTTTCACCGCTTAAATTCGAACCACTCATATTTGAACAATCATTTAATGATTCATCAATACAATTATCAAATGAAATATCATTTTCATATAATGATAATGATGAATTATCATTTAAATGATGATTATTATTAACTGTTGATTGTATTGAACCATTATCCGATTTTGTTGATGATGATAATTCCATACCATTATATTCATTTGGTATATTATTATTATTATATGATGGATAACAAGAAGAATTTCCATTAAATGTTGAATAATCATCAATAATTGATTGATGATGATGATGATGATCAATTGTTTCATTAATCATAATCGGATTCATTTGATTTCGGTGATTATTTTCATCTGATTATAAAGAAAAAGAAAGTTAAATTAACAATTTGACACTTTTTAAAAAAAATCTTACCCATTGTTAACAATGATTTTTCTTTTGGTGATGATGATTTTAATTCATCGTCATCATCATCATCATCATCATTATCATCATCGTCGTTATCATCATTATCGTCATCATCAACAACATTATCATCATCAATTAAATCCGTTGATTTTGATATTGAAATTGAATTTTCATTATTCGTTTGATCGATAAACAATGAATCAAGATCCAGATCTTCTTGTAAATTATTATCCACAACATTAAGTGATTCATGATGTTGGATCGCTGAATTTGTTGTTGTTGTTGTTTGTGGAATTGAATCCGATGAATCAACAATCGATTGTTGTTGTTGTTGTTGATTATCATCATTTGATCTATCAACCATCAATGATGAAGATGATAATGATGATGATGAGAATGATGAATTATTATCATCATCATTATTCGAAATCGATATTTGTTTATTTAGTTGTTCATCACTAATCGATTGTGATTCGGATAATAATAAGTTCGATTGAGAATTTAATTTACAAATATTATCATTATCAACAACAACTTTTTCATCATTTTTAATATCATCAACAACATTATCATCATTATCATGAATGATAACAATGTCTGTTTGTTGTTGTTGTTGATTAATAATTGATGAATTTTTAGCTTTTTGTTTCATTTCAGATTCATTAATTTTACCACCATTTAAAAGATCTAATAATTGACTTCCACATTGTACATTCGTATTGGTGGTGATTGTAGATTTTTTTCCAATCAATTTATTCTGATATTTATCATTCGAATCAATTCTACATAATGCTGTCAATAATGTTGGAGAATTACAAGTTGTCGCTGTTGTTGTTGTTGTCGATGGTATCGTTGAGCTGATTGTCGTTAAATTATGATGAAATTTATTTTTGTTTATTGCTGATGATGATGTAAGTGATGGACTTTGTGATTGATGAGAATTCAATGATGATGAAGATGATGATGCAGTCGATGCTGTTGACATTGATGATGATGAACGATTACGAGATGATGATGATGATGTTGTTGAGATTGAATTGGATGCTGCCGTTGCCATCGTTGTTGTTGCTGTTGTTGTTGATGATGTTGAAGAATTACCTGTGGTAACTAATTTTTTAACAGTCGGTGCTTCGGGATGTTGTGACCGTATATGACCAAACATACGTTCAACACGTGCATTCATATAACCACATGCATTCCAATCACAACGATAACCAATCAATGATTTTCGATCACCTTTACTACGTATTGCAATCATATACGTACTATTATTATATGATTCAAATGTAACTTCACCTAATTGACAAACACGTGCTAATTCATCACGACTTAGATGACTTTTCTTTTTTCTACGTATTGTATCGGCCATTGTCATTATTGGACCACCATTATTATTATTTGTTGTTGTTGTTGTTTGTTGGCTATCATCATTAGAATTTTCATTTAAATTTAAATGATGATGGCGATTACCACCATTCATCAATGTTGTTGTTGTTGTTGTTTTTATTGTTGAGATCTTCATAGTCGTTGTTGTTGTTGTTGTTGATGATAATGATGATGGTAATGGTGGTGGTGTATTAGATTTTTCAACAACACTATTCATATTCATTGTCATCGTTGATTGAGGTAGTGTTGATGATGATAATCGATTACGATAACGTTTCACTTTCGTATCATTAATATTATTATTATTTTTTAACACTTTATCCGCACAATTATCATAAATTAATTGTCTATTATGATGATTATTGATGGGGTTGATGGGGTTAATGGTGCACATTAATTCTGTTGATTGTTGTTGTTGTTGTGTTGTTGACATCATCTGTAGATTATCTGTTGATTGATGGTGAAATGGATCAACAATTGTTGTTGTCGATGTTGTTGTTGGTAATGAATGTTGAACATTTCGATAATTATACTGATGATGCGGATGATGATGATGTGAATGTAAAGATGTAATTCGTTCGGTTAAACATTGATCTAAATCAATCATCATCATTGATGATCAGACTTTTTTTTCTCTTAAATAATCACTTTAACATGTAAACACAATTGGAAAAAAGACGACGAAGAATTTTCATCGCAAAAAAAATTATTTTGGTTTTTTCGTTGATTTTGGGAAAAATTTCGCAAAAGTTTTTTTTTCCTCGAAAAAGCAATTTCATCAAGTGTTTCGAAAATATTTCCCCGAAAATCTAGAAAGAAAAAGAAAAAATCAAATTAAATTAAATTTTTTTTCTGTTTAAAACAAAGCAAAATAAATACATTTCGCACATGCAATCATCATCATATTGCGATTATAATTTGATGTCAAAATCAAATCGAGAAAAGATAAAAAGTAAAAAGAAAATTATTTAATCGCCGATAGGCAAAAAACTAACTCACTCTCTAAATTTCTCTCACTGAATTTTCCATCATTAATCGATCAATCGATCGATTGATTGATTGAATTGAAAATAATTTAATTTGATTTCAAACAAGCAAAGCAAAGCAAAATTAACTTTTTTTTTCTCTCTTTCTTTCGATCCATTCAGCCATTTCAAATCGATCGTCGTCATCGTAGAAATTGAAAACAACAGAAAGTCAAATTAAGTAAGTTAGAAAGCTGTAGTAGCTGATAGTTACTGAATTTCCAATGAAAAGTGGGAAAAAATTTTTTTTTAAATCGATAACGAAATTAATTCAAAATGAAGAAGAAAATCCATTCAGTTTTTTTTATTTGCATTTTTTTCTGCTTGTTTGTTTTTGGGTGGTTTTTTTTTGAGAAAAAAAAATCGATTGTATCGATGATTGATTATCGATCGATTGCAAAAAAAATTATCAAAAATTTCCATTGAATTGTATCATTTGAAATTATGATTTTAATTTTTCCGAATGATAAAATCTATGAAATTTGTCAAATTGACGAATGATGACGACAAACGAATGAATAATGAATTTATCCATTGAAGAAAACTTGTTTCTGATTCGGTCATTTACAGCAATGTAAAAAGAAAAAAGAGTAATTTTTTTCATTTCCATCGAAACATTACATTACCTATACCGAATCATTATTGAAAGGAAATGATCAGCCAGAAATGACAATTCATTCTCCTAGTCATCATCATTTTGGCTTACAAAAATGTTCCAGAGAATAACCCAAAACTCTGTTTTCCCTTTTTCGAAAAATTTCCCTTTTTTTTTGCTGACAAAATTCAATTGTATTTTTTTTTTCATTTAACAATTTTGATTTGATTTTGATTTTTGCAGAAAAAACATCACATGCAAATTTTCTTTTCCACACATAAAACATATAATTGAATTCGTTTGCACAAAATGATGATGATGAAAAATTGTCGACAAAGAAACAATATGCTGCATATGTTCTCCNTCGTAGAAATTGAATTGTTGTCTTTCAGTTTAATTCATTCAATCTTTCGACATCATCGACTATCAATGAATTTCCAATGAAAAGTGGGAAAAAAATTTTTTTAAATCGATAACGAAAATTAATTCAAAATGAAGAAAATCCATTCAGTTTTTTTTTATTTGCATTTTTTTCTTGCTTGTTTGTTTTTGGGTGGTTTTTTTTTGAAGAAAAAAAAAATCGATTGTATCGATGATTGATTGATTATCGATCGATTGCAAAGAAAAAAAATTATCCAAAAAATTTCCATTGAATTGTATCATTTGAAATTATGATTTTTCTGAATGATAAAATCTATGAAATTTGTCAAATTGACGAATGATGACGACAAACAAACAAATGAATAATGAATTTATCCATTGAAAATTGAAGAAAAAACTTGTTTCTGATTCGGTCATTTACAGCAATGTAAAAAAAGAGTAATTTTTTCATTACCTATACCGACCCCGATTCATTATTGAAAGGAAATGATCACAGCGAGAAATGACAATTCATTCTTCTCGTCATCATCACAGTTTTGGCTTCCAAAAATGTTCCAGAGAATAACCCAAAAATGAAACTCTGTTTTTCCCTTTTTCGAAAATTTTCTCTCTTTTTTTTTTGCTGACAAAATTCAATTGTATTTTTTTTCATTTAACATTTTTTGATTTGATTTTGATTTTTGCAGAAAAAACATCACATGCAAATTTTCTTTTCCACACATATAAAACATATAATTGAATTCGTTTGCACAAAATGATGATGAAAAATTGTCGACAAAGAAACAATATGCTGCATATGTTCTCCGTGTTTGTTTTGTTTTTGCTTTAAAACTAGGAAAAAAAATTTGAATATGATTCGTTTATGAAATGTGAAATGCGAAATGTAAAATTTTGATGTGAAATATCTTCATCATGAATATTTGATTTGTAAAATGACAATGTTTTGTTGTCAAATGGAAATTGTAAATTGTTATTATTATTATGGAATATTCCTGAGAATCACCAAGAAGAAATCATAATGTATGATTCTCTTTTGAAAAACAAAACAAAACAAACATTTTTTTTTATTTATTCAAATTTCTCTCGCTCAACATCAATTTAATGGCTGAAAATCCTTTCTTTTTCCTTTCTGGTGAAATTTTTTCGTTATGTTTTTTCACTCGAAAGAGACTAAAATCGATGAATAAATAAAGTGACTGAATGAAAATTGCCAAACAAACACCTACACACACACAATCATTCCATTTTACCGAAAAATATTTTAGAAAAGTCGAAAAATTATGTTACAAAATAACAAAGTAAAGATTTCTTTTTTTTTCTTGACATTTAAAAATTTCCATTATCCAATGTGATTTGAAACAAATGAAAAGAAAGTTTTTCGGAAAAATCATTTTTTTTCTCTCTCTCTCTGTTTCTGAAGTGAATTTGGAAATTTTCTCACGTCTCAATGATGATGATGAAGCAATGAATTCATTAAATTCCATTCATCATACATACACACAGAGACTATAAATATCTTGTTGAACAAAAAAAAAATTTATTCAAAAAAATTCAAAAAAAGTATTTTTCCCATTCAGATTAAAAGATGTAAATATTTTTTTTTTTGGCATTTTAAATATTTAATAATTGTATTCGCTTATCATCATTGAAATTTTGTTGTTGTTGTTGTTGTTGAATTTATTCATATTCGAGCAACAACATCAACAACAAAATGTTTTTCTTGTTGCATATTTTATAAAGTAAAGAAAAGAAAAAAGATTGAGTTTTTTTCAACCAGAATAAATATTCAGGAGAAACATTTTCAGTGAGAGAGAAACTTGAATAATATTTTTTTTTCTTGGAATTTTCAATTCAAACAACAACAACGAAAACAACATGAAGAAACAAACATCTTTGACAAACAAACAAACAAACAAACGCAGAGAAATAGAGAAAAAAACAAGCTATTTTTAAATGAAAATAAAAAATGAAAAATTACAATTACGTTTCTTGATTGAAAATGAAAATCCTTAATAAAACGACAACGACGATGAATTAACGAGCAAAAAAAGTTAATTAATCTCTATTTCGACGTAGTCGTATTTTATTAGTTTAGTTATAAGTTAGTTGAAAAAGCAAAGCAAAGATTCATGGCAGAAAAAAAAAGACATAACATAATTATGATGATGATCAAATTATTCGGATGAAAAACAACACACACAGAGTGAATGAAAGAATATCCACTACACCATCTTTTCTTTATTCCATCAAAAATGATATTTTGATTAGTTAATGTTGTTGTTGTTGTTGTAAATGCAAGAAATGCATGTGTATGATGATAAGAATCATTGAAGAATTCAATTATGTGGTTGGCTTAGATGATTTTCTCTCTTGTGTTATCCCTATGATGATGATCAAAAAAAACATATGAAAATTTTTCATTACCTTCATCCAAAAAAACTAAAAATAATGTAAATTTGTAATTAATTAAGAGAAACAAATGCAAAAACAAACAACAGAAGAATCAAATTTGATTTTCCAAACTTGTCATTGTCGAAACTTGAAGATCTTGGATATATGAAAATAATGAAAAAGAAAACATTCATTTTTTTCAATTTGTCATCCTCATAATCATCATGTTCATTGAATGAATCAAGCGATAACGACAACGACAACATTGAATTGACTGAATAACTAGAGCATTACCAGCGAGAAAGATATGATACAAAAATGAAAATAAATATAGATTTCAATCAAACAAAATGATCAACCATTGATTGATTGATTGGAAAAATATGTTTTTTTTTTCGCTTCGAAAATCCAATAAATTTTCAAATCAACATGTTGTTGTTGTTGAAATTAAGAAAAATTTCTTTTTTTCTCAAAACATGTTATAATTATAGATTTATCATTGGGAAAAAAAATCGATCCGATCGATCGATTGATTGATTGAGTGATATTGATGAATTCGATTGATTGGATGTGTGTGAGAAAATTTTTTGAAAAATT